TTGACGTAGCCGATGCAATGTCGCTCTTAGACATGTGACGGCTTTGCATCCATTTCGATTGTCTGTATCGGGCGCAGGACACAAATCTGAATATTTCAATCGAGTGCAAGAGCCGTTCTCAAAATATTTGCCTTGACCTCTACGTGATGCCGCGAAGGATGACAAGGGTGCCATGAGCAGTCAGAACGTTATATTTTGAGCCGAGGAAGGTCAGGTTTGCTGGAATTGGAGGCTACAGGGCCAATCGGCTTGTGTAATTGAGCCGCTCTTCATGGAGTGGCCCATGAGCCTCGCAAGAACAGCTCTCAAAACATGACACCTCTGATATCAGTCTAAAGGGCTGGGCATAATAGCAGACCCCCGTCATAAGAAGATGAACATCTGATGGGAACTTTTGACACATCATGACTAAATGGTAGCTTTAGAACATGTGCACGCAACAGATGTCCTCTTGGACCAATTTTTTGCTCAACGGGCAGCATTGTGTCAGCCGGGATGAAAATCCTTCCACCTCCTCTTCCTGATGGAACGAGAACTTTTCTCGAAAAAAAAAATCAAACTTTCGGAAGCTTTTAGAACACTATTAGCCCTACCTCCACCCTCCCCCCTTGAAATGTGGAGGATAGGCCTATAGTGCTTCACGCCGCACATTGCATCACTATGCACCCTCAAGGAATTTGACGGATTGAATTCTTAGTAAACAAGTATATCAGGAGAATCTCTTTCAAGGATAAATATCAAGACCAATTTTTCAGCTGCATTGAAGATCCCAATTGCTTTTGCCACTAAATGGGTATGTCTACAATCTCCTATCGAATGGGACTTGGGCGCCAATTTCTTCTAGTCATAAAATTCTATTCCACTCGTATTCCTCTCTAAGAGAATGTAGAGGAATGAAATTCAGCATGCTTGTTGCCCTCTAAACACAAATTCGCTCCATTAAATGTGAAGCTTCAGTCCCGTGCGATTGCGAACATTGAATCTCGTTTTTCGTGATGTCAACTCCAACCTGTTGTGTTTATTTTCTTCTCCCATCCCCCTTGGGTAGTCACTTCTGGGTAGTCTTAAAGATGATAACCCGACCAAGGAAAGATATTGACTTAGAGATCACGAAAAGTTCCATTTGTTTGGATGTGATGCACAATTTCACTAGGAAAAATGAGATCAGCTGTGTCCATTTAGGCTTAGCGTGCCGACTCCAGTCCCGTTTCCCAGGGTTGGCAGCTGTCGTGCTGGAGTTATGTTTGATTAATGACTCCTACTTTCGCATCGATGCCTGGATAATCTGCTTTTTTAATGTATTTTTGAGCCGAGTTCATGGGATGAAGTAATTTTGAAACTGGGATTAGGGATGACCAATCGATGTAGTGGGATATGGCCATAGCGCGCATGGACATCCCTGCTTTTAATGGCTTCCAACATGGCCGAGCGTTAGTCATTCCCTCTGGAATGGTTTTTCTTGAATGTTTGAATGAGCCTATAAGCGGCAGTATATTCCACATCCTCGCTGAGTTGTATGGAAGTCGCTGGAATTCACCATCATAGGACTAATTTCACCTTAAGTTGAGATTCTTTCAGTAAAAAAAGGTATGACTAAACCCGACTTGAAGATAGTCCGTGCGTTAGGCCCAGGTATAACGTTATTGAGCTCCTTAGAGAATGGGAGGGGTTGAAGAAAGAGGAAGGCCTTTGAAATATGGCTTTCACACTCTTCCAATCTGGGCGTGTCAGAAAAAAACCTGATCCAGTTCCTTTCCAGGCATTAGAAGTCTCGTGCGTCGGTTCACGTAAAATAATGAATCATATTTTCATATTATGTGCTCCTTCGGGAAAGGTGGAAATGTTTAACGAAAGTGAAGCATGAAAGGATTTATAAAGTAGTCTTGAATTTGTTGTCTTAACAAGTGACGGTTCAAAAGAAAACTTTCTGGAAGGAATTTTCAATGGCTCTGGGTATCCACATTTTTAGGTCTCTAATATGGTGACTGAAGATGCTTGGATTGTGTCTAGGCGCTACCAATACCTTGACGCCCAGAAAGGGTACTGTTACCAAGCAATTGAGGTGAACCGTTCGTATACAAGAAAATGTAGTTAGGGAGGCAGAAAAGGAGCGAGCGAGTAACCATGGTCATGTCGTAGCTCCAGGATCCGAAGCGCATCGTGCAATTCTGGATGTCGAACGGGAAGGAGGACACGTCCACATCGCAAGTAGAGCGGAAGTTCGCAGCCGTGAGTAGGGCCACCTCCCCCGTCGAGCTCACGATCGCGTTTGTCGTCAGCAGCCGTTCTGCGTAGTTCGTGGACACGCTGCAACACATAACGAGTTCAACCATAATTCAGTCGCTTTGAAAGTACTACGAGTGAAGGGGGTGGGAATCCGCTTGCTTGACCAGTATTCACTGGGCAATGTTTCTTTCTCTCTGCGCTGCACACAGTAATTAAGGAAAGCATGCTGGAACAAAAGGTTATCTTAAATCTCCAAGTGCGGACGATGTGTCCCACACGTCGACGGAGTATGTCGTGAATTTCTTTTAGTTTTCTCATATTTCAATTTGGCAAATGCGGCAAATCAGGCATCGCGTGATAGCCAAGTGACAAACGATTATTTCCTGTACGCAACCGAGAGTCGCCGACTGGGCAGACACACTTGAAAGGTTAATCAGCTGAAACAATATTGAATCCATTCGTAAATGGTCAATATTCAATAGGTGCGGTTGCTTGTCTACGTAGGATTGCTACATAATCGAATATTAAAATTTTAACAATTATTCATGATACACAGGACTCATTGTAAGAGCACTTATTCAAGATTTTGAGTTCCCAAGCTGACTGCTTGGAAAGGAAAAAATATTGGCATGAAATACGAGAAATCAGAAGTATTAAATAACGGCTAGAGGTAGGGTAGGGTGCCATTTCTTCGTTCAACAGTGAAATAGGCTTCAGAATTGTGACAGAACTTATGAAATCGAGTGGTGAGAAATCATCCATTGGCTAAAATTTCTTCTCTTTCTGTGGGGCATAATGTATGAGGCAAATTATCCCCATGGAAGTGTCATTAATGGAATACATTCAACAGGTGGAAATATGATCAAAAGTTGCTCATAGTCACAAAGGAGGGTTAAAATTTAGCTATGAAAGTTTCCGTGCTTTGTCTTGCTGCACATTGATACAATCTTACAATTTGCAGCCTGAAGCGCATAGCAAAAAAGTTGCACTTACAGGATTTCTTAATGACTGAAAATTATAATACCTATTGCCTAGGATGATGTCCGGCGTCCAGATGGATGCATAGGGTACCATGATCTGCTCGATTCCACCGTAGTCCTTCGTGTCCCATTTCAAATAGGCATCCTTCCATAGGAGAACGACCTCCACGTTCGTGACGAGGGCCTGATTCCTCTCGTCCTATCGGAAATCTCAACACTTACTTTGTGAACATTTGCGACAGTAAACTAAAAGGCGATTAACACTATACAGAAACTGACCAACTCTGTGATCCGATAGAGAACGAGGCGGAAGGTGACCAGGAGTGGGGAATTGGGGAACTCGACGGGGAGAACCATAGAATAATTTGCAAAGAGGTTCTTTCTGAGCTGAATTTCCTCTTTGCTTCCCTCCAGAAGGATTCCATCCCATAGAAGGAAGAAGAGGAAACAGAAACCGTGCCGCATGTCGACTGGGCGAATCCCACCTTCTGACTGAGAGAAACCTAGTTCGATGGGGCTTGCCCTTTCTGCGACCACACCTTAGCTCGATTTCTTCGCTCTTTCATGGATGGGTAAGGATAACGATTGCGATCAGCCCTTCCATTGGCGTGATCGTGTCCTTCACGAACGTTGCTGTTGATGCCTTAGATGAAAAAAATCGATCTGTATCAATAAAGGGGAGGAGGATGGGCTTTCGTGTGGTCTTTGTGACCACACGATGACCACACAATGACGAATACATTGCCTCTCATTCATACTCATGTTCATTACCAACGCTGGTGTCGTTAAGCATTATTATGGATTAAAAAATTGACGAGTGTAAATAAATGGTGGAAGGAAAATAAAATAACTATGATTATTCCTGACGAACGTTGGTGTTGCTAATAATAATGGCACATACGTAGTACAATGATACAGACTTACTGGTACAATATAAAATATTAAGATAGTTCGAACCAGAACCTGAAGATACGCCTTCGAAGCCGTTTCTAATCCTCGAGCATCATTTGTCACACTCCAAAATCACTTTACTGTAAGAAAAACATTTTCCGAAATTTCCGAGTCTAAGCCGTAATACGTGGACCATGTAAACTGGATTTCCGCAACACTCTAAAAAGAATTCCCGCATTTCCTCGGAAATCTCACTACTTCTTGTTCACGGAGTTTTTTACGTCTTCTTCCTGGTATATTGCGGTTAACATTCCAAGTTCGACCGTGAGGCGGGAAGTCTTTTCCTCGATCGAGTCGGAAAAGCCTATTTCGAACATTCTCCCCCCCTTGAGAGTGTAGGAAAGTGTAAATGGAATTTGAGAGAAGTTCCTCGTATTGACACCTTGGGGAAGCCACCTGACACTTTCAGTTTTCATGCCCAAATCAAAGAGGTCTCCCGCTCACCCTCCAAATCATCACAACCATGAGATTTTGATACTTCTGTATTCAGTGGTTGCAATCTGGGTAAACGAAGGGCACGGCGGCTTCTTCCCCCCCCCCTCTTCTCCCCGATGGGCGGAGAACTCCTCCTAAACGATGCAAGTCCCACTTGCTGTGAAGAATTGCTCATCCGCCTCTCTCTTCCTTTGAGAAGGGGGAGAATGGCGTGTGATGGTCGCCATCTTATTCGAATGTTATAGAAAGTACTACTTCTTTCCTTGGATGCTCTGAATCATCGCGTGAGTAAATAGTACTTTCAATCTTCTGCGAGAGAACCGCACCGAAAGCTCTCAGTTTAATTAGAGAAAATTCACGAACTGGAAAATAAATCATTCATTACTACGAGATTCATTATTCTGAGATGTGAGATGACGTCTTCCAGCAATTAACACGATTAAATAATCCCTGAATAAGACGGATATCATCTACTTTAACTGGACAGTCGGTTCCGACAATGAAAATGGAATTTACAAGAAGACAAGAAGATATCGTAGGTCTACTACCAGTACTACCTTGTCGTACTATACTGTTAAAAGCCCCAGCGCGCACAGTGAGAAATGAGTGGAATGAGTCGCATTTCGCGCACGTCGTTCTGCTCTTTCATTTGATGATTGTGACCCCAAAATATCTCTCTTTTACGTTCAGTAGATTGCGCCGCCAAATAGTTTATACTTTCCCTACTTTTTCGTGGCATTTTTGCTGCAACACCAAATTTCAAATTAGAAATATGGAGCACTAACGGAATCCTGCCAACTGACGTCAAACACTATCTTCAAATGACAACAGGATTGGTAACGTGAAAAAACGATGACGTACGAAGAGCATTGCCAGCGTTTGCCCAAACAATTACATCCGTAGCCGACAAAAGCCGAGTTCCTATAAAGGGGAAAGAAATACGAGATCGAGAATATTGTAGGGCGGAAAAGTTTCGTATTCAGGGAGGGCGGAGAGTTTTCGTTGCGAGATTTCATTCAGAAGAAAGAATAGATCAGCAAGAAATATGATTAAGACTCATTATTTAGGAGCATAATGAGGTAGACAGCGATACGAAGCCTTGCAAGACGTTATTATCTCTCTATTTTAATTATATGATCTGAAGGTCCAACAATGACCTTATCGATTTCTCTCCTTTTTTGACTAGCAGATCCAAGTTGAAAGAGAATTCTCATTGCCACAAAAAAGCACGCCCAATAAGAAAGGATTTAAGCAATCTTGATGACGTTTGGCACAAAGCTTTTGCAATGACACAGCAGAAAAACTAACGACAAGCAGGAAAATCAAGCGAAGTTTCGTGATCGTAAAATGAGGCGATGTAGAGAAAATTTGCGGAATATCGGAGGAAGACTCACCACCCTTTGACCTGACCACCACCCTTCATGCATCAGTCTGATGCATGAAGCTGATACATGCATTCCAGTCAGGGAAAGGGAAAACTGAACTGTTTTTTTTCTGTTCTATAAAGTTTAATCGGGGAAAACCTCGGGGAGCGTTTCGGACTATTAGTATGTCCCCATAGCCGCCATTGAAATTAGATTGTTAGGCAAGTTTTCTCCGTAAATATTCATCCCACACACTTAAAAAATTAATCGATTTCATGTCATGAAAGTTAATGTTTATGCATCAAATTTCATTAAGATCGCTCCGTTCCTTTGTCTTGCTTTTTTTGGACAATGAGTATATCAAGTGGTTGTTCATGCCACAATTTCTCATATGGAACATAAAGAATGGCATGCTCTTTACCCTGCTCCCGGCAATTACGTCCACAATGACGATCGAGATATTTCCACTTGCATTTTCGGCATCTACGAGACGCCCAGAAACCTTCCCCCCCCCCCCTCTTTGAATAATACTACATAAAGGAGAAGTGTTTTGATCATAGCAGAGCATTTTCAAGGAGGAATCAGTCCAGTAATCGATTCATCGTATGCCTTATCCTTGTTTGCTTAAGAGTTCTCATTCTATCGGGGTCTGAAGAATTCAGGTTTTCAAACAAACCACTGTCAGTCTTCATATGATTTTGCACAAGAAGCAGATAGGCCTCGAGGACATCTTTGTTGAAACGATTGCCAGGAGCCTCCTGCATCGTCATTTCCACTCCATCTTTTATCGAGGGTCCAAGGTGCCTGAATCATTTTAAAAAGACCAATCATAAATGCACCAAGAAATTTCGGAATTGAATCAGTGGAGAGCGTCAAGGCTAACATGTGATAGATGTAAGACCCAAAGACGAAGGAAAACTACAAGCAAAGACGAAACGGCGTTTTTTTTTTTTTTTTTTTTTTTTGGGGGGGGGGGGAAGCTGGTTTGGAAAGTACCGACTAGTTTAGGCTGAGTTCCTCATTATCATTGCCAAAGTTGAACTTAAGACCTCATGCAAGGGCTCGTGAGTGAAAAACCATTCACCGTAGCCACCAACTCGAAGTGACCGTTCTCGACAGCACAGAACGTCCAGAGAATGAAGTGACGAGTCCATGGAAGAATACTCCTGCTATCTCTGTACAAGGAATCTGTGGGCGGTCTACGGAGACGTGCAGTTCCTCAGGAAGAGGCGGACTTGAAGGACGTGTCTTGCGGCCCGCGCAGGCTCGTGGCAAAAGTTATCTGGCGGTTCACGAGAGAGCGATGCAGCGCGATTTCTTCGCTCTGAAGGCGAATTATAACCCGCCCCTTTGTCTGCGGCGGAGGTCCTGAAAGAGCTTTTACTTTCGCGTTTGAGAATACCATTGAATCACGTCGAAAATTCTTCCAAGTTCCTTTCCTGTTGAAATAATGCAGCTGGCAATCTACACCTAAAATGTCGTAAGACAATTTTGAGACTCTTTCCATTATATATCGCCATCGTGTAGTTCAGCCGCTGGGTGGTCCGGAGCCCAGGAGAACCAGGCTCACTGGCGCCTCTAGCATTATGCATTCATGAGAACCTTGCGTTTATAAAGTATTTACTGTGACCTACTGATGAGAAAAATCGTGGATCATAGTTATGGTTGATGACTTGACAAGAAACATGTGGTTTCTCCTTGGTCAATATGACCACCTTTTTAGTCATTCTCTTCTCATCGCATCACTCAATAGAAACTCCTTGGAACCAATATGTCTGAATGCCTTGCTCCGCTGGGTGTCACAAGCGAAGTAACGGATGGTTTTGCAACTGTCCGTCTCAGCATCGAACCCTCTTGAGGTACTCGTAATCTTTCGATTAATTGCTCCCTCTAACAAGACTTGCAATGCTTTCGTTTTCAGTCGCGAATTGGAAAATAATTTTGAAGCATTAATTGCAGATAATTTCTTGGGAGCGAAGTAAGACGCTCCCGCGCCCTGTCTTCCAGACGAAAGACGGAATTCCATCTTGTCAGAGACGAGAAGAAACGGGCGATACTCGAAAATGCAGTAAATTAAATAGCCATTGACCCACTAATGCGTCCACTGCAAACACATTTTTCCTTCACTCAACATTATCGTCAATGTAAGAGAAGGACAAACACGGTGAGATCAACAACCGTTACAAGTCACTATTGAAAAAACGAAAGCATTGGCAAAGCTTGGTAAGGAGGTATAGGCCTTTGACTTTACTAATTTAAGAGATCCTTTATCAGTACTCACATCGGTTGCGGTTTCGCTATTGGTTCTCACGTCCTCTCTCCCATCCTGCTCCCCGTTCCCCTTGAGTATTTGGTTATTGTACAGCGAAGTCAAACTTCAGGACCAATTTCACCATTAAGCGACTAAAATTCACTATCCGATAAGCACCAACGACACAACCACAGTGATTTGCGCTAAGTGGTATGTACTTAAGTGCGTCTTTACCGGGACAAAGCACTCGTGGGGGTAACATCAAGTCGAGCAGCGAGTCTCTTCCGGAGTCTAGTGGCAATCGGAGTCGGTTACGGCTACGTAGAAGCCCCATTGAAGGCAGCTTGGGATTGGTTGACGGGTCTTTTCGTTGGTAAAAAGATCCCACAGTGTACCTTCATCCAGGGGACGGCTGAGATCGGGGAGAAGTTCTACCGGGAGCGGCACTCCCGTCACACCAACAGGCAGATGGCGGTCAAGTTCGGAGGGGAGGGAGTGACGCTCATCACGGGGATCGCCGTGACTCCTAAGGATGAGAAGACGCCTTCTCCGGAAGTGGATGTGATGGAAGGGGGCGTGAATCACGACCGCGTCCATCTTCAACTCCAAGGGCAGCTGTTACTCGGAACCCCTACATTGCAGCTGTAGACAATATGAACTCGTAACATGATGCTGTATTTAAACATAACACGGTCTTCTTGGTACAGAGGGTAACGACGGAAACTCTTTTGTTGTCGCATATCGAAGGAAAAACGTATCTTTGCCATCAAGACATCCGCTCTCTTGGATCTGAGCAGACAATTATCATCGATTGCATGGAAATGAAACCTGTGTCTACTGTCCAATACCTAAGTATTCAGGGCGATCATGAGAATCCAAGAATAAAAAAATGTTACGTACAATTAACCTTCGCCTCCAACCTTAGGAAGGGCATCTGTATATCCTACTCAATTGTTCTTGTGATCCTACGTATTGTGGCTAGAGCCTCCTGAATCCTGAGTCGTGATATCTCCTCATTTTGAAAATCATCTCCGCACTTCATTTAACGGAACAATAAAGTGAGACAAGTAATGGTTTCATGACAACCCTTGCTTTATTTCCCCCCCAAAAAAAAACATAAAAAGCGATTTCCAAACTGACTTCAGAAAAAAAGTAAATTGAAGTTCAAAATTGCATGCACGGTAGTCGAGATTCAGGATATTGTGATAAGGGACGTCAATATATGGTGGCTTTAGAAATATAAATCTTTATTGGAAGAGGCGGGCTCACTCATCCTGTCAGAATTTCAATGAATATGAAGGGAGTTCGAGTAAGAAGAACAAAAGAATTACAATCGTACGTGCAAGGACAGAAGTGACCATGTTCCCAAGTCGCGGGAAAATTCCTAAGGATGGACATGGGAAATGAAAAAGTAAGTTTCTCCCAAAAATGAGACTCTCAAAAGAATTTGTGTCGATAATGTACATTTTCTGTCCATTCATTGGAAAAACATTGATTCAACATGGATTCAATGTCGATTCAACATCCGGAGGTTGAATCAACTTGGAATCAATGTATACACGATGATCCCCTCACGAATAACAAAACTAGCTCTAGCTACTCCTTAAGGACGTCCGGAGGTTCCGCCTACGATAAGAGTAACCTTTGGGACCTTTACGCCAATCTAGCTTTACGGATTCGACCCTAAATATCCTTCACATGTATTTTTGCACTCTATAATCTCCATCCCATACGCTTGAAGTGAACCAAGGCCAAAATTTCCCTGACTAGTTCGTAAATACTTGCTCATGCAAAAACCTGCAAAAACATTATTTTTGCTAAATAACAATTGATTTGTGAATAATTTATCCTAGTTGGTGATGATGTCTTGAAAGCATGATGGTGAACACGATCGGACAGCAGTGGAAACGGTGGACATTTATACAAGTTTTAGGCACTCCCCTTAAGCTGGAAATCTAAAAAAAGGAGTGAAAGGTTCACCTCCTAAGCTTTTCGGTAGCGGACCACTGTTGCTCCCACAGACGCTACTGGTAGGGCTTTAGGTGCGTGGGTCTTGAGGCATTTATTCTCTTCTTCCACGGACGATCTATCGCGATGAGCCATGAATCCCTCCTCCCGGAATCCTCCAAAGCGGCTGCCTCTAGAATCCGAGAAAGTTTCGAATCCCAGACGGAAGTGCCCCAGCAACCACAGTAAGTGATTCCATGAAATTTCTTCCTTCTTTCCACAATCTCATCCGTGAATATCTATACTACTCATGCAAATACACATGATACGTTGAAGTGATTTAGTTTGAAAAAATGGCAGATGTAAGTAGTTGTTGCTATGCATCTAACACGTCTACGAGTCGATTGTCATGCGCTCTGAGACAATTCCCCATCTACATTTCCTTCATGCGACTGGGCTCTTATTTGTTTATCTAATTGTTGGAGACGAAAAGAGATAGGGCTACCACTGCTTTTTCAACTCCTGCTTCTTCTCTATCTCTTTCTTAGCTAGGTCTTACGTGCTTTGCCAAGAGGTTAAGAGGTCGAGGTGGACTGCCATTATAGCCACCCAGGTCTTAAGGTTCTCCCCTTCCCCCTTCTCATGGAATTCCACAAGAGCCGAGATCCCTCTCAGGTTCAGCTCCGTCTCTGCGAGAACAAATTTGCTGGCGAAGTGTATTATTCGTTAATTGGTGTCTGGAAGTCTAATTCATATTTGAAGTCAGTCAATGGTTCGGGGCATGAGAGACGAAGTAGTGGGTCGAATTTTCTTGAGCCACGTCGAACTCCTCGTGGATGAAATCTGAAGAGGCACATGTTCATCGATGTTTTATATCCTTACTTGGAGGTATGCTTCGTTAATTTTTCAGCATGGCGGAAAATGAAGGAAGCGTCTTTCGATTGGCTCTAACCTGATGGTACTCTCTAATGCACTTGCAGCAATGCGCGATGAGACGCAAACAGCAATACGGAAGGTGAATAAAACTAAAGAAGGGTGCCCGAGACTCCCGCTTCGAAATGAGCAGACCAGATTGCATTTAGGCTGCGGAAACCATCCATATTGCATAGATGTCTATCGTACCTGTCATCAGTTCCTTCTTCATGCGTTCGACTGGGCTCTTCCAACAGGGTCGTCTACTCGAAGCCATCTTGTCTCCGTAGAGGAAGGGAGGTGGTATCCCGTCGGTGAATTCCGTCTTCCCTTTCTCGTTCTCACGCGGTCCCCCCTTCACCTGTGAGTGCATCGTGAAACATCATCTGTAGAACCACCTGCGAACTATTCACTGGATTAAATGAATGAGGAGAGAAACGGACGGTGCGGAATCGTGGTTCTATCATGTAGGGTAGTTTGGCCAACATTCGACACATTTTCTGGACCCAAGGGGGTACTCGGATGTCCTTCAAGTGATGGAGAAACAGGGTGAGGATGGCGAGGGCCACCTCCAGTGATACCAGGCAGATGCTCGCAAAGTAGAATTTTCCTGCAATTATCGTAACGCTGTCTTTGGCATCTTCAACTTTGTCAATATCGAGTTGACATGTCATTCGAGTGCTTCTCAGTTCTCAATTTGTTTGAATGGGTGCGGAACTGAATTCTAAAAAATTTTCAGCACTTATTTCAATCCTAATACTATTGGGAAGGTGGTCAGGTCTAAATGCAGGTAATGCAAGTGAAGAAATTAGCAGTTCCAGTCACGTGGTTCTTTTGTTTGCTAAAGTCTCCAGCTGACATTTATGGTTGTCTTAATATCTACAGGGTAGGCAAAAAGGACGTTTTTAAACGATGCACTTCAATGCACATTTCAAATATAAGCACATCATTTAAAAAATTATCTATTCCGATTGGAATAGATGCGCTTCAAAATGATGCGTTCATAATTTCAAATGTCTTCGACAGTTTCAGAACTTCAGGAGTTAATATGAAGAATAAACAAAAACGCGTTGCCGCGCACTCGAACGCAAACGGCATGTGACCTTCAGCTGCCATTTGTCCATCCCCAAGGCTACAAAACCAAGCAATTTTTGTTCACTGTTCATATCAACATCCGAATTCCTGATATTGTTGAATATGTACTAATTTAAGTAGACAATGTTCAAGCGTATTCAATCCTCTTCGAAATGCCGCAAGAAATATAGACCCCTTAAGTGGATATAATGTATAAATTCGACATGGTGAAACGTTTCCCAGGAGGGTTCGGCTTTTTCTACAATTTCAAGTTATATTTTGAGTTTGAGTTTAGCATGAATTCGAAACTCGTAAAGGGAGTACAAACTCGAGAGAGAGTGGTGCTTATCTTACAGCAATACAAATTGTGACTCTCACGAAAATAATTTATTACACCTGTGGTGCACTTCTACCTGAGAAATCCCACAAATAAGGGGTTGACATACAGGGTGCCCAGGAAAAAAGTACACCCTTAAATATTCATGAGTTGCTCGGCAACCAGGAGATTAAATTGCCTAAAAATTTGAATAAATACAGTTCAAATAGTCGGGAAACAGTTATTGAATCATTAGGCGGATCAGTTTGACATGAACCTTTATTTATACCAGTTAATGATTTGATCTCAAAGTTAGACCAAACGGTTTATTTTATCACCTCAGCTAAAAAATAATAATATCAATCGTTGCAAATAAGGAACAATCAGCACGTTAATTTATCTTTGGAGACGGTGAGCAAAATCATTGACAACTTTCTGAAGAGGCTCAAGTGAAAAATACACGGCGGCGTATTAAACTGAGATATTGAGTACTGTAAATTTATGGGGCAAAAGTTGACCTTACGCGCAAATTTGACGTCTCAAGGCGAATTTGGTCTCCTGGTTGCCGAGAAACTCCGCAACCAGGAGACCAAATTGCCTAACAAATGGGAAAAAAGAGTTCAATTAGTTAGGAAACTCTCTTTAAAATATCAGGCAGATTGATATCACATGATCCATAATTTGTCATTTTATAACCATCATCAAATTTGCGCGTAATTACAACGTTTGCCCTGTAAATGTACAGTACTCTGCACCTCAGTTTAATACAATGTCGTGTATTTTTCACTAAATCCCAAAAAAATACCACCATTCAATCAAAAATATCGAAATGTACAGGGTGCGGCGAAAATACTTGGACAAAATAGAAAAATTAAAGACAATGTAATTTCTTGAAAATGACACAATTTTTCGACAAGTGAGAACAAAAACAGTTCACAATCACGGGATCACAATAGAATCACTTGTTTTCAAAATGGCAACCTCCGGCTTCGATGCACTTCTTGAACCTCTTCGGAAAGTTGTCAACAGCTTTGCTCACCGTCTCCAAAGATAAACTAATGCGCTCATTGTTCCTTATTTGCAATGATTGATATTATTATTTTTTAGCTGAGGTGATAAACCGTTTGGTCTAACTTTGAGATCATATCATTAACTGGTATAAATAAGGGTTCATGTCAAACTGATCCGCCTAATGATTCAATAACTGTTTCCCGACTATTTGAACTCTATTTATTCAAATTTTTAGGCAATTTAATCTCCTGGTTGCCGAGAAACTCATAATTTTTTTAGTGTACTTTTTTCGACACCCTGTTTACTCGTATGCAATGAGCGCAGCATAGTGTCTGGTTGAAGACAGTCCGGCTTTTTTTTGGCCCACACTGCAAAACTTTCCTTCTGGGGCAGCTTCCACCCTGACGACCACGAGTTTTGTTATTATTCAATATACTGTAATGGCATTTGGTCGGAATGTCTGTCAATTCTTGAAGATGGAGACTCAGCCGATGACTCCATCTTACCGATGAGAGGGACGTTTTCAGAGGGCGGGAGGACATCGCGGATGCTCATGAGGAAGATGATAGTGGTGAGCATCGTGGAGATCCCAAGCGTCACCTTCTCCCCGCTCTCACACGGTACCAGGAATGTTAGCAGGGCTAGATACAAACCGACCACACTCTATCGCTCG